CACTCTTCACTCACTTTGATATTTTGTTTTATTCGCTGTATTTACGCACCTTATTTAAAGCAGGATTCATATGTAGAATCTCTGAAGTTTTTTATAAGTGTCATGTAAATTACGTTCTAGAGAGTGGAGCAAAACTGGAAGAAATGATTCGAGAGTTATCCACTGCTCTTACTGCAGTAAAACACGAGCAAGAGTATATGGAAGTTCGAGAACGAGTACACAGATCAAGTTAGTTTTTTAACTTACTGTAGTTTTGCTTCTACTTTCGAACTTTTTCTTCACCTCTTATTCTTTTTGAAGTTGTCTTCCATAATTGGTTATTTTTGTAATTGTCAGAGCATTTGTAGTGGAAGTTAATACTTACGATGGGATTTTTCGTTACTTCTATGTTCAAAAATTTTGTGTTATTTTGCCTTATTACCGTGTTCTTCGCGTATTTCATAGATCCACAATTTTTTAAAATGCAGCACTGTTTTTTTGATTGTTATAGGTATTTTGAACTGTTTTATTTTTTTCAGTCAATGAAAACACCAACTCTCGCGTTGTACTTTGGGCTGTTTTTGAGGCGTTAGTTTTGGTTTCAATGGCAGTTGGGCAAGTTTACTACTTAAAGCGATTTTTTGAGGTGCGACGAGTAGTTTAACTTGCAACTTCTTGTAGTTTTATGTGCCATTCTGCTTCTACAGTTGTGTATAATGCTAATTAGTATTCAGCATTAACAAGTACACAGTTATTTGGTTAAAAAACTACAGGCTGAGTGTTTTTAAAGGAGGAAACTTTGACTTTTTAAGGGTTGGCTTTGATTGCTTTCAGCCTTTCTGTAAAGTTTTGTTAAGTTAATGCGTGAGCATGTTTGGCCTGCCCTTTGGTAAATGTATATTTTTTCTGTGTTGTTAATGAATGATGAGTTTTTGAAGTTGCCGACTTTGAATTAGAATTTTAGTGGAATGTTTTACACTGCTTTGAAGGATGGTTAGGTATTTAAAATACTGCTTGCCAAGCAGTACATTAACGACCTCTGGTAATTCCAGAAGCTGTTTTCAAAGATTAAATCTGACTATTTAAATTTATTTATTGAATATTAAAGGATGTTTGTTATATTTTGATGTGTTTTCGTAATTGTAATATTTATGATTTTATGTTAAACCGAAGTTGTTAAAATTTTGGACAAAAGCTTTGATGATTAGTAGTTGAAGGGGATTGTTGTTGTGATATTTAAGTCGCCTTTTGGGATTTAAAGTGTTATGTTTTGGGTTTTTATGTGTTGGTAGTGATTGTTTTCTTTTACAATATTTGGTTCGTTTGTTTTACTTCAGTTTATAGTTTCGTAAAGTTGTTCTTACATTTACTTAAAGTCTGAAACTTGGCATGTTTTTTTTATATGTACAACAGTCGCTTGTTTAGGTTTTTAAGATCAAAAAAAAGGAGAAAAAAAACAATGTTCACAGCGGATTGAATTAGTTTTATAGTATGCATTTATTTTTTAATTCACGTAACTGCCGGTATCATTGGTAATAACATGAAAATAAGAAAACTGTCACTGAGTTATGCAAGGTAGTGGAGGTGGTCGACTACTTGAAGCTTACTGCTTAGAGGTGTATTGTTTGCTTGATAAAAGGCACTGGCTGGGGCAGGCATTTGCAAATGCTATAGGCGGTGGTACATCTGGCTTTTCTCGCGTGAAGATTCGCGTTGATTAGATTGAAGAGCGGTGATGTGGTTTGGCGGATGGTGAATTGAGGTTCTGTGATGAATGCATAGGTTCATTCTCACCTCTTTGACGACGGTAAAGCACCACTCAGAGCAGTTGACTCTTTTTGATTAGACATGTCGAGAAAGCGTGATTTGGCAGTACTAGTGTAATTTGAGTAACATTTGAGCTGCGTATGGCATATGGGAGATGATAGTGTTGGTAGTGAAGTTAACGGAGCCACGATTTAGGAAAAAGCGGGACATTCTGAGGTATTGCAGCAGTTTAGTGGTAACTGAGTTAGATGTTTGGGTGGTTAGTTATTTTTTTCAATTGCTCACTTATTTTCTTTACTGCTTTTATTTTTGTTGTTGTTGTCGTAACTTTGAGGCTACTAGGAATTATGCCATTATTGATACTTATATTGATTCTGTAAGCTCTATAAATTTTATTTTGAACATTCAGAACAGCATTTTTTTAAAAGTTTTTTAATTTGCAAGGAACATTAGAAAGGAAAAGGAAATAAAAAGGTGTATAGAGAATAATTGAGATTGTTTTTGAAGTATAAATTGTTGAATTCTTCAAAACATGCCCAAAAAAATGGTTCTTTGATGTAGACTGTAGAAGATGAGACCCAGAAAATGACAAACAAAAGGTGCCTAATTCTACAGATATTTTTTAGGTAAACAAATATATAGGTCATTCTTTCTTTTAATGCTACTTCAATTGGTTTTTTATCTGTTCTGCTTTGCTCTAACTTAATGAGGACAAAATAAAGGCTTTATTTTGATCAATCCAGTTTAATGTGTCAAATGAACTTAATTATTTCGATATGTATATTTTTAAATATAATTGTTTTTTGTTAAAGACAAAAAATATTGGCAAAATGGATGATTAATGATAAAAAGCTACAAATGCAGTCAATATTTACAGTTTATGTTGATCGGTCAGTGGTATTTACAGACGAACAATAACTGGTTGAAAAAAGCAATAACCAATAATTTAGGATTATATAGTGAACGGTTTTGGTTAAACTCCTAAAATGGCATCTAAGACGATCTAACACCTTTTTTAAGCTGCTGTCCCTTTTGTTTTTAGTGCTGTTTAAAAAGACAGTTTTACATTTGTTGGTGTTGTTTTGTGTAGCTGATACCTTTGATGTGAACTGTCAATTGAGAATCGCTTCTTTTTTTTTTTTTTTTTTTT